TCTAACTGACAGACTGCATCTTGTCACTGTGGCGTGAAAATCAAACAGCCTCGTGACAAATTTCTGTTCCTTTCAACCTTCTGCTGAGCATGCGTGGCGGCCGTCCTGCCCAGCTGAAGGCCTGCGACTGTGGCAAATGCACTATGCAGGAAGATCAAAGTTCAACAATCATCCTGCGATTCACTGTGGTGGAATACCTCAATCAATAGAGTGAGTCAAAGGTCAGCTGATCCAGGGTGAAATCATGGTTCTGGTCTGGACTGCTGGATGGCTGCATGTGAACTAACACTCCTCTTTTCACCCCACTGCTGGTAGCCGGGAGGTCATGTGACCACGGCATCCACTGGTAGATATGCCATATTTAGATTGCCACACGTGAACGCCGTTAAGCCAGAGACCTAGACAGCATCGGTGTACACGCATATTCGCTCGTGAGTGCTGCCGGTATATCGGCACACCCACACACTGCAGTTTTTATGGGAATACATCTTACCACCTCATCACATTTTGACAGTCTTGGCTGACTGAAAACATTCCCTAAATAATCCGGCTATTACTACAGAATACAGGAAAGCTTTTACTACAAAAGGAAGTACATGCTTTCTGATGAAAATCAGGTAACTGATACTAGAAATGTATCAGTATAACAGAATTTTTGAAAGGCCACACTGCGAGCATTTGACATTTTAATTGGTAAACAAAAAAAAATACTGAGCTCTGAAATTACAAGTAAATTTCATAAATAATTACAAAGAAATGGCAAGTAACACATTGAATTAAACGTGAAATCTAGAAGTAGAACTCTGAAATATTTTTCTTGTAAAACGTACTCCAATAAACTTTGAAATGTTTTTTTTAACTTTTTACATTGCAGTTATTTTATATACATTTGTAGTGTTTAATATTTTGAATTAGCTTTTATTTAAAAATTTTACGTTTTCATTCAAATCTAAAGTTCTAGATGAACTTTTAGTGATTTTGTATGTGGCTTTGTAATTTTTATTATTAATTTGCTTTATTTTTATTTTAGTTTTAAAACTACAACTTTTTTTATTTCAGTTATTTTCCAAGTCAAAATTTCAAATGTGTTTACATTTTTGAAGTCTCAGTCTAAAAAAAAAAAATTGGTGTAGAAACAATGTTTACACAGCAATAAATCAATCACTCAATATTACAGGGTTTTAAGTAACACATTGAATTCTAGGGGTGCTCCGATCAGGATTTTTGAGGCCGATCACCGATCGCAAAAAGCAGTATCTGTTGATACCGGTCACCGATACCATAATCATTTATAACTATTTATAGTGATACTCCAATCAGGACTTTTAGACATTTATTCAGGGCCTGAAATTCATTTTTGAAAATGGGGGGAATTCCCCTCTTAGGTTGACTCTTGTGAGAGCGTCATCAGCTTGAGATCGTTTTTTTTGAGATCTGCCTTTTTAGAGACCGCCGATCAATCATCCCAACGTGATTATCGGCTGATAGTGATCGGTAGCCGATCAATCGAAGCACCCCTACTGAATAAATTTTGGTTTGACTGTATCTATTTGATAAATGAAGTTAACCAACTAACATTATACATACTCTTTTTGTTTTTGTACCCAATATTTAAAAAAATTTACAAATGCAATAAAAATATCGGTATCGGCAAGTACAAAACATAAAAGTATCGGTATCGGGCAAGGACTGGAAAAAGTGGTATCGGTGCATCCCTAGTTTTAACCATAACAACACTAGTGGTTTGCTTGCATTTACATGAAACTATAAAACAATACTCTGCATTGTTCACAAATCAAACTAATTAAAGCAGTGGCCATATTACTCTTATGTTGGGCTGTGGGAGCATTTGTTCACCACAGAAGCCCTATGTTGGAATGTGTCAGCATGATGTAAGAGGTGGGTAACAAAGCTAGCATGAACTGAACTACTGGTCCAACAGGCTGAGTCGCACTACTGCAACCCTCCAGCAGCACTGATGCAAATCTGAGGTGAACACCAGCTTTCAGTGTACAGGCTCCAAGCTTGGCATTCAAGCACATAATTTCTTATAAACCACCAATGGAGTAAACCGATAGGGTTTGGGAGCTGAGAACCTGTTCTTATACGGAAACGGGTTCAAACAGAACTGTCATGACATTCGATTCAGTAAAGAGAACATTGTAAATATTCATACTAAACACTACAATACTCCTGCAGTGTTTCATTTACTATATAGTTGCACCGCAACACTGCTACTGAATTGCAAACATACAGCAACCATCGTAATCCGATTCCCAATCGAATCCCTCTTATGGACCAATGCTTTACAGTGAATCAAAACTTCAGAATGAATCAGTAAGCTGACTCTCTTACTGAATCACAAGTGTTTTGTCACGTGTTACTCAAAATGAACCAATAATCCTATTAAAAAGCATTTGTAAACACACATTTTGATAGATTGTGTTACAAAAATAAATGTTGTATTTGTTTTTATTTTATTTCTGGCTTGTAACTGTTCAAATCTGAGGGCTGTAAAAGCACACAGTATTCCTTATTTCCAAATATTTCAATATTAGTTGACATTGGTTAATGCATTACATAACATTAAATAACAAATAGCAATAACGTTAACGTTAGTTAACACAAATACAGCTGTCTGTCCATTGTTAGTTCATGTAACCTAACCTCAGGACCACTACATAATATTAACAGATAGAACTTTTGATTTTAATGTTTCAGTAGACTACGTTCCAATTAACATTAACTAAGATAAATACATGCTTTATAATTTTAATTGTTAGTTCATATTAGCCAAAGCAGTTAACTAATGTTAACAAATGGAACTTGTATTGTAAAATGTTATAAAAAAAATCATTAATGGCACCGTTAATAAACTGGAATCCTTAGAGCAGTGGTCACCAACCTTTTTAGGCCCAAGATCCCTGACCTCGGCCTTTATGAAAGACAAGATCTACCTATTGAAGGCTTGATAGAAAAAGACATCCCATATTGTACTTCAAATTTGAGGCCTTGTACTTAGTATTTCAATTAGTGATGCGCAGATCATAGCTGATTCAGAATTTCTTTTCTTGCTTTATTTTTTTAACTAGTAAATTGTATTCTGATACGGATACTGATTTTTAAGCAAATTTATTTATTGGCTATTTGCTTTATAACAAACAAGCTGGCTTTAAACAAAAATATCTAGCCATTTGAAAATAGAGGCAACCACTGCATTTTAATCACGATCTGCACGGGCAGTTGTTTTTGATTTGATTTAGATTAATTTCAGGATTTAAAACAAAAACAGAATGGTCTGACTTTAGGTGTTATTTATTTATTTGCTACATAAAACATCTGCACGAAGCGGTGGCGCCTATGAACAGGGTTGCCAGGTTTTCACAATAAAACTAGTCCAATCACGTTTCGAGAGGGGGCCCCTGTAAAAATCGCATTCCGGGGGTAAAATACACGTTTTTCGGCGGGGATCTTCCAGTAAAATTCACACTCCAGTGACTAAATATCACGTTATTGGGGTCGCTTCAACCCGCGGACATGAACAACAACCCGCGACAACAGTGTTAAAGTAGCCCAATTCCGCGGGAAAACCGCGGACCTGGCAACACTGCTTATGAACCCCCCAGCATTATAGCGTTTCCTTGTTTAACGCTGTAAACAAAGCAGAGTTGCGCTTTATACGGAGAAGAAAATGCCATTGCCATCGAAACTTTCCTCAAGACAGTTCCCTTCAGTGATACATTAATATAACCCCATAAATGTAATGCTTTTTTGTACTTATTTCACAGTTTTTTCGGGATCTACTGGGACAGTGATAAAGATCGACGGGTTGGCGACCACTGCCTCAGAGGAATCAAAATGAAACCCAACCAAATCATTCCCACAATTCGCACTCGCAATAGCCACGTTTTAATGAGAATTAAATAAGACAATGATCTGCGTTTATGAAAGAGAGAGAGAAAAACAACAGAACGTAGACAAACAAATGAAGAAGAAAAAAAACACGTATTGAGACCAAATGTATCTCTTGAGTTAAAATGATCAGTTACGACTTAAACGCTAAGGTGCATTTAAACATGAGCTAGACCCAGTGAACTACCCGGCGGCGTGACGTCACACACCGGAAAACCTCGTCACGGCGGCTACGAGCTGTCGACCAAACTAAAAATCTCCTGCTGGACGACAAAGCCGCCTCTGCTCCATATAGAAGCGCGTGTGAGAATAGCGGAGTTCAGGCAAATCACGAGGTAAATGCTAATTAGCAGCATTCCCAGCCACTGGCGCCCCAACTTTTCCTCTCCTTACACAGGCGAGCTCTAGAAAACCGAACCGTGGCGTGCAGTAGCTGACTCACTAAGCTCAGCCCGCACAGAAACGAAACGCGGTGACTGTCAAATAACAACGCGCGTTTACTTTCGACAGAACGCGCCCGCGAACGACACCGTGTTGCTTTTAGCGGCTGCCTTTAGAACGGTTAACAGTCCAGCTCGCTACAATGTAACACAAGCATTCCAGTGGAACTCCATTCACACGTTACAAATGTAACCGCTATGCCCGCTAAAAGTTAAAATACCACTGAATATCGTTCCACGGATGGACTCGCCTTCCTCGCACAGTCAAATGGAGGCTCGCAGGCTAAAGCTAGCCAGGCAAACGAGAGGGGGGAGCTGGCTAAACTTAATCGCTCAAATGCGAGCAGCGCGGGCGAATCAAGTAAATCTGCGACACAACTGAAATGTTAAAACGGTAACAGCCGTGCGTCCGCTTCAAGGTCGCTCAAAGCGATTTGTTTACACCGCGACAACAGGCAAAACACAACTCTCTAACTCTGCAAAGTGGCCAGGCTGAAATAGCGAGTGTAGCTGGTTTAGCAAGCTAATGCAGGATACCGCCGCCGCGGAACTGTGATTGGATTCTGCAGCCAGTGTGTAAAAAAAATCGCGTTACAAAACCGCCGTTCACCGTCAAACATTCACCATTTGCAACCACGTCGGACTTACAGTGTTTTGTTTCCTCTTAAATCCTGTACGTTACGTCCAGCTCTGACCTTCTGGTTGGTGAAACAGCATTATAGTTAACTGCCGCCGCCATGTTCCTGCTGCCGTATGCCTGACGATGGCTGGCTGCTTGTTTATCTCGCCAGCAAAACCTCCCCCACATACTACGGGCACCAGTATCTACTCGCTTACTCTGGCCTGCATAGCAACCTTGCAGTGAGTAACGGGGCAAAATGATGATACAGCAAACATAAGGACCAGGCTCGCCCGTTGGATGGAGTTTTCTGTGTCTTTGTGTTTTTAAACTGCAAGTAGATGTTTCATAATATTATAGGAGGGAATCAAAACTGCATGCTTGCAAAACAAAATTGGTTATTAAAATAATTTTATTGGTAATTCAAATTGGACTCTCCTATTCTCAGACCCAAACACTACTGAATGTTCTCTTATATTGTCAAGGCCTGAACTTGGTTGAAAGGGTTCTGATGTTGGTGTTTTGTAAAAAAAAGTTTTTATTTGATAAGAAGTGTAGATTAAATGTATATTAAGAATCCTGAAATCACAGCATGCTGGATGTGATTTATGGAGGTCTGGAAAACAGTTTCATGTGGGCCATCTAATGTGATTTCTAATCAAGCTGTTATGACATTGATAATAGAGTGCAGATTGCTTTGGGTTTGGAATAACAACAACACAGGGCTCTCTCTGGCACACTTTTTTCTCCCACGGCACCACTTTAAAGGCGAAAGCTTTCGCAAAGTGCTATGTAAACTGGCTTTTCGACACAGTTTTGATTCCCTCCTATAATATTATGAAACATCTACTTGCAGTTTAAAAACACAAAGACACAGAAAACTCAATCCAACGGGCGAGCCTGGTCCTTATGTTTGCTGTATCATCATTTTGCCCCGTTACTCACTGCAAGGTTGCTATGCAGGCCAGAGTAAGCGAGTAGATACTGGTGCCCGTAGTATGTGGGGGAGGTTTTGCTGGCGAGATAAACAAGCAGCCAGCCATCGTCAGGCATACGGCAGCAGGAACATGGCGGCGGCAGTTAACTATAATGCTGTTTCACCAACCAGAAGGTCAGAGCTGGACGTAACGTACAGGATTTAAGAGGAAACAAAACACTGTAAGTCCGACGTGGTTGCAAATGGTGAATGTTTGACGGTGAACGGCGGTTTTGTAACGCGATTTTTTTTACACACTGGCTGCAGAATCCAATCACAGTTCCGCGGCGGCGGTATCCTGCATTAGCTTGCTAAACCAGCTACACTCGCTATTTCAGCCTGGCCACTTTGCAGAGTTAGAGAGTTGTGTTTTGCCTGTTGTCGCGGTGTAAACAAATCGCTTTGAGCGACCTGGAAGCGGATGCACGGCTGTTACTGTTTTAACATTTCAGTTGTGTCGCTGATTTACTTGATTCGCCCGCGCTGGAACTACAGTAACATCTTCTGATTTCTCTCAACATGGGGACAGGAGAGCTGTCAGTCAATAAATTGGAAAAAAAGTAACTTGCGTTACTTATTTGAAAAAGTAACTCAGATATTCTCTTGTAAATTAAAAAGTAATGCGTTACTTTACCAGTTACTTGAAAAAAAGTAATCCGATTACGTAACTCACGTTACTTGCAATGCGTTACCCCCAACACTGCACATCACTATATGGAATATGTTATTATATATAGCCTAATAATAAAAGCAATATAAATTAATCTTTTGTATTTATTTTATTTATAAGTCAAGACCTATGTCCTCGATTATGAGTCCACGTCTCTAGACGTCATTTAAAGATATAGAACACGTCTCGGGCATTACATCTGTGAAATACAATAGGAAGAAGCCCCTATAAGGGGTTTTCAATAGACAAGTACTCCACCATGTCTCATAACTGTATTGAGTTAGGCTATCAAATACACAAACATTTCTCACTTTTCTCCCAGAATACAAGCCTCAGATGGCCACGAGCTCAGTGACTGTTTGCTCGGGCAGGAAGCCAAAGCTTACCGTGATTACTCAGCAGCAATAAACCCCAAATGTGTCAGGTATCCGATCAAAACCCACACGGCGACAGGTTGATTTCATACATAAAAATACTTCCATGTGAACGCAAGCCAGCGAGCGAGATGAAGTATGGGCGAATCGAAACGAATCCTACAGTTGCAACCCGAGTCGCTCAAAGGTCCACATCGAGTGTAACTTCTCTCAGAGGGAAATCTGCAAACAGTGACTTATGCAATATTCGCTGTTCACACTCTTTCAGATTGGCACGCGCTTGACAACAATTGTGAAACAGCACGGGGTTATCGCAATGAAACGTCCCGACGAAAGAGACTGCGCTATCTGTTCAGGAAAGCATTAATAGATATGCTGTTATTTTGGTTTCATATTTTATACTTTTGCTAATGGAAAATCGCACCCCCCCCCCCCCCCCCAGCCAAAGCTTACCGTGATTACTCAGCAGCAATAAACCCCAAATGTGTCAGGTATCCGATCAAAACCCACACGGCGACAGGTTGATTTCATACATAAAAATACTTCCATGTGAACGCAAGCCAGCGAGCGAGATGAAGTATGGGCGAATCGAAACGAATCCTACAGTTGCAACCCGAGTCGCTCAAAGGTCCACATCGAGTGTAACTTCTCTCAGAGGGAAATCTGCAAACAGTGACTTATGCAATATTCGCTGTTCACACTCTTTCAGATTGGCACGCGCTTGACAACAATTGTGAAACAGCACGGGGTTATCGCAATGAAACGTCCCGACGAAAGAGACTGCGCTATCTGTTCAGGAAAGCATTAATAGATATGCTGTTATTTTGGTTTCATATTTTATACTTTTGCTAATGGAAAATCGCCCCCCCCCCCCCCAGCATCCACGCAGAGTGATTTGCAAAGCCAATAAATATCACTGTGCTTAAGAAAAATCTTGGCGAACAGCGCCACTACATGATCAACACCAACATTTGAAAGAGAATGACCTCTTGCAGCAAAATGAAATAAAACCACGTTTTCAGCATGCCTTTTTTACTGCATTTCATTTGAGAATTACGTATTAAGTTATTAAATAACTTTTATATAAAACAAAATTTGTTGTAATATTAGGCTTATATACAAAAAAAAAAACACGTTTTTTTTCCTATGCCATAAGGAGGCTCGAACAATTGTTGCTATGGTTACTTCCAATCCTCACGAGAAAGCGACTACTGTTCACGAGTGTTATTTATTTGGCACTTTCTGACCAACTCGGACTCGAAATTTACTGGTAACTGAAAAGCTGTTTGTTTGTTTTGAGCGGTTCAAGCCCTTCAAACCCATGCCATTTGAACCATGTCTTTAAATTAACGAATTTATACAAAAAAAAAATCCTTTTGAGCGTCGTTTTCTAAAATGTAATAAAAACAAATACAGACTCACTCATAGCCAATGCAGTGAAATGGGGCAATTACTGTGAAAATAACATTTTTATTAATGTATTCACTGGTTGTCTTCTCATTGGTTGTACTTGAGTAAAAGAAATGTGAGATAACAATGCTTTTTTTATTGAACTTAATTCTCTATGGACTCTATGGTTCTTAAACTAAAACCATCTATGAAAATTATGATATCGGAGATCTTTTCCTTAGATCCTGATCAGTCTCACTGGAATGACACTTGTGATTTGACATTTTCATGTGTTATCAACACCATACAGCAAAGTCGGATTTGAAAAGTTCAAGAATAAAAGGTATAATCTTTTGACAAATCAAAAGCGCACAGTTTTTCTTCATTTTGTTCATCATCCTTTGCTAAATTAACAATTTGTGGAGCATTATACTTTTTCCTTACCATGACCAATTACACAGTACAGTGCAACAAACGAAATGCTTTTAAAAAAAGGCATCAAATTAACATTTTTGCTTTTGTTTTTTTCTGAAAAAAAAATGTGACAACACGTTTATACAACAACACAAATGAAAAGACATTAGACATGGTTCCAAATGCATAGGATAGAATCAACAAAAACTGTGAGCCTTCAGAGAACTTTAAATACAACCCTGATTTCAAACTCAAGTTAAAATACTGAATTAGTCCTCTCTGATCTGTCAAAACGATGTATGGTTAGGCACTTGTAAAAATAAGTTACATTTTCCCCACAGCTTTCATGTTTTATTTGTAGGTATGACTGGATCATAGATTTGGATTTGAAATGCAGCATTCAGCAAATAAAGCAAAGAGCATATGGACCTTCAGAATAAGGAAACAAATGTAGAGGAGAATAAAAAGAACCCCTCCAAAATCCCCCAAAGCCACTTTTCCTTAAGCCCTTCTTGCAAAGAGACATAATAGTTGGATGGCTTCATGAAATACAGCATTCAGCATCCTACAGGATCAAGGAGCAGGATGACATGTTGCAAGTTTTTTTTTCTTCCAGATAAACAAGAGGGGAAAGGGGAAAAAGGCTACAGACAAACTGCGGGACGGAGAGAAATGATCAGGCTGAATGATTTAGTCAGGACAGAAGTTGGGACTTTATGATGACTTCTCCTTCCTCGCTCTGGGAGAATCTGCTCCACTGGCACCAACAGATCCATTCACACCATTGGCTGTGAAAATACAAATAAGAAGATGCTTGATGTAAGTGATTAGCAGTTCATTTTGTATTCTAGATACCTGAAGTGCTGTTACTACCGGTCAAAGGTTTGGAATAATCAGGCCCTTTCTAACGGAGCATGCTGCACAACTTCTTGTCCAGGCCCTTGTCATCTCTAGGCTGGACTACTGCAATGCTCTTCTGGCTGGACTCCCATCAAGCACAATCAAACCTCTACAAATGATTCAGAATGCAGCGGCACGACTGGTCTTCAACGAGCCCAAAAGAGCCCATGTTACACCTCTCTTCATCTCCTTGCACTGGCTACCGGTTGCGGCCCGAATCAAGTTCAAGACATTGATGCTTGCATATAGAACAGCCACAGGCTCAGCACC